TATACAATCATGGTTTCTGTGTAATTCTTCCAAAATATGAGGGTGTATTTTCTCCGGCACCACAACTCTATTTCCTCATAGTGTACAATTACTATGTACAGATAATTTATATCTCTTTTGCCAAAACAATTTATAGTCTGTATCTACCTTAGAAGGCCATACATTCTTTATCCAATATAATATTTTACTTAATACCTTGTCCTTTTTAATGAGTCTGATATCCCAGCAAGTAATGATGTCATCAATTTCTGGAATATACCAGGACCACGCTTTGTCACCAAATGCCAATCGGTTTACTCTGTAGAGACCTTTTGGTGTATTCACTGTAAGAAAACTAGCTGTCTTATCATCAACACCCACTTGTGTATATATGTTTGCTTCCAAAACGATTTTCGAAAATATCACTCCCCCTGCAGCTGCACAAATGATTTATTAAACGTAGGTAATGGATAAGTAAGATCAGTATTGGTAGCTGCATTCACTGTGGACAGATAATCTTCTCACAAGTATACTTGTCCATTTGGTTTTAACACGGGAACTATAGGTGTACATAGCTCACTCTGAATATGTAGTAGGTTCAAATACCTCTTCTCTAACCAATCTATCTATTTCTTTAAAAACTCTATCTCTAATTGCAAATGAAATGGGTCTGCTTTTGAGAAATTTAGGTATAGAATCCACTTTTGGTGTAATACACACCACCAGTCCAGTATATCTGCTGAAACCTGACTCAAAAACCTCATTAAATTTACATATTATTTGTTTTGTTGGAACTTTATCACAAAATAATTAACATTATTTATCCCCTGTATACTAATGCCTAGATTTGAAAACCAATTTCTACCAATTAAACCAGAACCTTTTGTTATCAATATGTTCATATTTTTAATTATTTGTTTATATTATATTTTACCTGTACTGTTGTTAGACCAAATAATACTAATTTACCTTCAGTATAATATTAGAATCCAATATATGTTATATCTATTTCGGGTAATTTATCCTTCCATATTCCTTTAGAGGTTGTCTCAATAAATATTGTATATGGACAGCCTGAATCCACCTCCATCAGTAGTTCTGTTTTCCGTTTAGAGATATCTTAATCATAAAAGGATCCACATTGTCTCGTTTGATACTATTTACTCCTATCTCATACAATCCGTTACATTTAGGGCTTTGTACTTTTTTAAATTGATTTGACTTTAGCAAGCAAGCTGCCTCTGTGTGTCTCTTTTTTCCACACCTTTTTCCACATATTTGCTTGCACTACCTGGTATAATAATATTTGCATCAATATTTGCAATTTTCTGCGACAATACTGCCAAAAACCCATTCAAATGATAATTGTCTTTGTTGTAACAATTTATTTCGAATATCTTTATCTAATATACTCCACGCTAATCTGTTCCTTAAGGTACGATCTAAATCAGTAAAATTACAATCTATACTTATTTTTCGTAAATTCTTTATTCTTTCACCTTCTTCTTGATTTCTAGTGTGAAATTTATAATTTCGTTGGATTTTTGACGAAAATGATTATTCAGAATACTTACTATAAAAGAAAATGTTACATCAAATATTTGGAGATATTAAAAAAAACTATTAAATCATACAATTTAGGGTCACAAAGTGAATCTTCTCCAATTTCACTTCTTCACAGCTTCAAGACAAAAACAAAACTTTTAAATGTAATTTTGCCAACACCAATGTGCAAGGTCAAACTCATTAAATTTTATTAACATTGTTATTATTTATATATTTAATTTGGGCAATAATCAATTTATTTCACTTTTCCACTATTTTCCTCCTCGTCACTAAAATATGTATACTTGTAGAACTGAATCACTCTGGCTGGGATGATATCTATGCACTAACTTTTTTAACATCTACCCACTTTAGTATACGACAGTTTTTTATTAAATGGATGATAATGATATAATAACACAGCCTGCTCTATCGGTATACACTGGTGGAGCACCAGCGAGGGATGATTGGTGAGGATGAAAAAGCAGGTCAGTTAGCGCATCGGGATGAATTCAACGATAAACTAGTCATGATAGGTTCCAGGGGAACCGCATGGAGATTGACCTGATAGGATATATTGATAGCAATAGGGACTAACCTCCTCATTACTGACAATACCTTCCCCCCTTTGTAAATGGTTTATTTAGTTTTAAGGCTGAATGGTGTATTAATATATATTTATGTTTTAGGTACTATGGTGTGAATGATCCTGTGGCTGAGAAGCTGATGCGTCGTGCGGCTGCCATGCCAGCATTACCTCCCCCAGAGGACAGAACTGTTACTACGCTATATGTTGGGAACCTGCCAGACAATATCACTGAAGATGAACTCAGAGCACATTTCTATCAATATGGAGAGATAAGGTATATAAATGCTGACAGCATTTTCATGAACTGACATACATCTCATTACAAATTGAGGTGCTATTACGTGAATATAAATTACACAAAAAGTAATAATAAACTATTTCATTTAATTTTATAATATTTGTTTATTAATAATCCAGAACATTAAGACCATTAATAAATATATATCACAATTTTGTCATACCTTCTCTTAATAAAATAATGATTGCAGTGTTTTCTACTTAGATTGTATATAATGTACAAATTAAAATTATATATTAATTGCAGGTCCCTAACATTGGTGCCGAGGGCACAATGTGCCTTTGTACAGTACACCACAAGGAGTGCTGCTGAGCATGCAGCCGAGAAGACATTCAACCGCTTGGTGATTGGTGGCAAGAGACTAACTATCAAATGGGGAAAATCTCAAGGTATGATCAATCTCAAATGTCCATAATATTATTTACATTTTTTTTTTTTTTTTTTTTTATATTTGTAGTATTACATTACTTTGATATGTAAATAAAAAAGTACTAATATTATTAGATCTGTGGATAAAACATTTTCTAAGGGGTTATAAGTAAATTGGCAAATATTTAACTATCTATATTTTGTGTTACACTTGTTTTTATCAATTCTGAATGAAAGTTGGTAATTCTTTTTACAATCCATTTTACTCATTTTAATTCCATATTAAGTCTGTTACAATAATTGTATACTGTTTTTAGGACGTCAGGGAATAAATGACAAGAACGAGTCTGCACCAGTCTTGGAGCCTGTACCAGGACTGCCTGGTACTTTGCCTCCACCGCCGGCCTTCCTACATCCATTCCCACCTCAAGTAAGTACTGTTTAAGATTGTTACCTCCTCACTAATATTTATTAAAGGGTTGTAGACATTTTTTCTAACTTATCTATCCCATTTCTTATGTTACATAGAGAAATAAATTTTAAGCCCACCATTTTTTCTCACTTATTTAGCCAATTAAACCGGTAAAATGACAAGTGTCATTTGATGTTCGATTTATTTTTTACAATTGGAGATGGCAAACAAGTTGATAGACCGTTTGATGGGAAATATTAATTATAATGTATAAATATGAACAGCACAGTAGACATTACAGAATACACTTATTATACCCATTGAACAATTCCTGTAATTGTATTTGCCCGATAATGTCGCTGTCATGTAAACTATATCTATAATATATAATTAATTTCAGATGCCACCACCACCAAATCGGCCCAATGATTTCTTCAACCTGCACCACTATGGCCCTGGAGGTTGGGGCGGGTGGGGACCGGGCATGGCCCCGCCGGTACCTCCGCCACCCGCGCCCGTGGCCCCGGTTACGCCCGTGGGACTTCACTACCCGAGTCAAGACCCTAGTCGTCTAGGCGCCCACGCGCACGCTAATGCTCCACAGTCATAGTATTAATTTTAGTGTTAGTCTGTTGAATGTATTGTGTACTAGAATAAAGTTGGCTAGATATATGCATACTGCTGAATTCTATTTGATTTCAATAGTCTTCTAGGTATTACATATATCTGTATAAAATTATATAATACTTATTATTTTTCAATAGACTGCGACCATTTTTAATAACAAACTTATCACCCTGGTTGTGAAATGATGCATAAGGTGTGTTAATGTGTAATCAATATTGTATTATATGTTAAGATTAAGATTGTATTGTAAAATACAGCAATTGTTTTGTAAATATCAAAAATAAAGAAATTTTCTAAAATCTTTCTTTTATTTACATTGCATTGTCGTTCAAAACAAAGTGGAAGGGACAGTTTAGGCAAAACGAAAACAGCTGAATGGTCTCTGAATCAGATGGCTGGATGGATTATTTCCTGACCAGAAATGCACCACAGCCATATAATTTAATGATTCTTGGATTTGACGCCACACAACGGGGGGAAGGGATTGTCAGTAATAGGATTTAACTGCCCCATTGCTATCAGTATACCCTTTTCGACCTCCACGCATTTCCCCCTCACCAGAGGGAGACTGTACAAAAGTCGATTGCTTGGGTACCTGTGTCCCATTCGTGTTTCAACCGTAAAGCAGTTGTTTGCATGGCTGTGTTTTGGTTTACCATGCCATTTTCACCCATAAAAAGACGCCGCTCAACGTTTTTGAAATTTTATGATTCACACGACGTATGATACCTACAACGCCCCTTCTTTTTAGGTATTTTTCGTGCGTTTGTGGCGTTGAGGATCAGTGTTTCACACAACAAATTCTGTGCGTCCCGGTAGAATTTTAATACGAATACATTGTTGTTTTTTGATTTTTCACTATAAAATATTGTAATATCTTTATATAATGACGATGTAACAGATTACATTATTTTAAATGAAAAAAATAGAATAATTTTGAAATTTTCCGCAAAGAACTTCGACTGGTTTTCAGTTCAGAATAATTTTGGCAACCTGTTCCTTACACCCAATGTATATATATATATATATATATATATATATATATATATATATATATATATATATATATATATATATATTACGTATCATATAGTTGGTTTTGATTGGAATGGTGCTCCTATCTTAAGATTATTGCTATAAAATTTTATTATTAATACAAACCAATAAAACACAAAAAAAAATATCGTCAGAAACTATATTTATTGTTAATTATAATAAGTTCATAACATGACTTAATCGTTATAAAACAGTAAACATTTAGATAAACTACATGCCTTCGCTTACCATTATCTGGGTAAGGACGGTATGGTAAATAATTTACATTAACTAGGCCCAGATACAATAATACCTACTTATTGTGTACTAACAAGAGACAGTCATGTAGTGAAATGTAGTATTTGAAGGTAAAACGTATTGTAAGCACTTCTCAATGATCCGTTTCTCAAGCTGTTTAGTCCAATGACTAGTTAATTAACTATGCTTAATAGATTTGTCTTAAGCTATTTTTATACAATGATATAAACACTAAAATTGAAGTCTTGTGCATTTATGGGGTAAATTGAATCAGCACACAGGGCAAGAGGAGTCACACTTGGTATTATCAAGGTTTATAATGTGATCCAAGTACTATAATGAAACGATATAATTGAACACACCTATATAGTTATGAAAATTCAATATGAATTACAAATTGAAATCCACTAACTTCCAAGGTTGTAAATGTGTGATTTATAATATTTACATTGCCTCCCTTTTTTTTGGAATGTTTACACTAAAATTTATATCTCGGATTAGTTGCTTAGGAGTGGTATTTCAATGCTAATACTAGCCAAATATTTTAATAGTAAATTTGCTAGCAAATATGCTCGTTGAAATATGAACATATCAAATGTTACGTTCACCACTGTGGCAATAGTCATACATCATCTCATAATTTTAATTTTGATATTATTTTAATAGAAAAAGAACAGACTTCAATTAGCATATACATATTTAAAGCGTCTATAAGCTCAAGTTTAGAAAATAACTATTATTAAAACTAGCGAAATTGAAATATTTTTAAATATTAAAGTTATATAATAAAAAAAATGCGCAAACGATACTAAGTCCAATATTGTTAAATTAAGAAATGTTACACAGCCATATGACATTTTGGCCGTAAAACTAATCAGTTTAACATTAAATACATAATCGTTATTATAAATTACTACATTTAAACAAAACATAATTTACATCTAAATTCATTAAATTATATGTAATTATCGACATCGATGTACGATAAATAATAGACTCCCAATCACGCGCAAAGTCCGAGCCCAAAAGCCGCTTTCGAAAATTAACCAGCAGAGTTTGTGTACAACGGACCTTGTACTTTAAAAGAAAGGCTACATTTAGAGGAATGATTTATTCTTTACAGTATAATTTATTCCAAGTACACGTTCCACACGCGTTTTCTTGTGTTTATTTTATCAAATTTATAGTACATCAATGATTTTAAGGCATGGACAAAATCAAATATCGTTTATAATGAATCAGTTAGGAAATTAAAACTTGCAACTAAATACAAAATCTCAATTCAATAGTATATATATATAATAACAATTTGTCTGTGCAACGTTTAAGGAAATCACCCAAAGATATGTTGTAATAGGGTTTTGAGGCATATTTTACATATTTGTCATAAGATTTGTCCAAAATAATTATATAATCAAAACGTTTATTAATACATATTTTTAATTGTTTTTTTTAATAACCCATGATTTTGTTCCATAAATAAAAAACAGTCTTTAATCTTGACAAAACTAGTATGAGACCAATATGGGAGGTACACTTTCAATTAAAAAAAGAATCATCGGAACCAATTCACAATTAAATACACAAAATATAGTTGAATCGAGAACCTCCTCCATTCTGAAGTTGTATGAAATTATGTTTTCAATAAAAGCTTATAAAATTTGGTCAAGATTAGTAGAAAAAATAAACTTGTTCCTCTATACCTATATGTGGGAGTTACCATTTTAATCATATATTTTCCTGTACTTTCTTACCATCTGCAAATTCATGATGGGACAGACAGACAAATAAGTTGTCTGTTTTGTCCATTTGGCTAAAGCTAAAAATATACAAATACAATTTTAAATCTGCATGATCTGTTCTATATAATTTAATTATTATTTTATTACATACATATGGCGAAAACCTGTATTCGTAGATTTACATTATACCATGTTTGCAAGAAAATATATATAAATTTTATATTATAAAAAGAAACCATAATCTTGATTGTTGAATGTTTTTCCTGATGAAAGGCCTTTCCATTTGCTCTTTCCAATCATATCTAAAAAGAGAGAAAAGAACGCATCAAAATCAGTCTATGATTAAAAAGTTAAGCTAATTACTATATGCATTTTGTCACTGTAGATGATCTTTAAAGGTATAATTCGATTAACAACGTTTCAGAAATAGCAGACATTTCTATCTAGTTACTTTTCTTAATAAATAACTAACTCAAAGAATTGTTATTTCTAATTATTAAATACTGCTTTTTATTATTTGGGTTTAATATTTAGGTAAGTAAATTTTCAGTTACATCAAAAACATTTTTAGACTCATTTGGCAAGTAATTCTATCTGTATTTTATTACTGTAATATGTTGTTTTGGTATAAATAAAGATAATATAATAAACTAAAAAAATTAAAACACATCAGTCGTCGATATAATCATGTAATTGTTTGTGTCTATAATAAGTTTGCTACTGTAATCTTTTGTAAGAAACAATAAAGAATATCTATATAGAATTAATACCACTGGCGAGGTTAAAGATTTTAAATACAGAAAGTAATAATTGTATATTTTGAATTATTTCATCATTGTTATGTTAGCCTGCCGAGGTTTTCCCAAGAGTCTACAGCATGGGGTTCTTCAAAAGGGGGGTAAAGAGGTTTCTTTAGGGTCGGCAACGCGCGCGTAATACCTCTGGTATTGCAGGCGTTCATAGGCTACGGTAACCGCTTACCATCAGGTGGGGCGTATGCTTGTTTGTCATCTCAGTGGTATAAAAAAAAACTGTCTATGGCTGAACATAAATTTTGCCAGTAGTTGCCACTCTTGACAGGTGGATTAACAAACGCAGTTAGGCTTTAGAGATGTTTTAAGAGGGACGCTGCTGCCCATCACTCGTCCTCTCTTAGTCGCCTCTTACGATACCCATGGGAAAGTAAGGGGTGATCTAGTCTATGGCGGAACCACATGGTGGTGAAAATTGAATTGATCGAAATGTTGATTTGTTTATTTTCGTTTATTGCGACTAAAATAGTATGGGAATTGTATGGTTACCATCAGTTAAGGTCAGTCAGTACCTCCTAATATCTGTTGGCATTCGCGATCTGCGCATTGACAGCGGCGGCGGCCGCGTTGGAGGCGGCCGTCTGCACGTGCTGGTTGCGCAAAATCTCTGTCGTGAACTCAGCTTGTGCTTTGGCCAACGACGCACCCGTTGACCGGTAGATCCGGTGCACCTGGAAACGGTCGCATTTATTACTTACCGGAGCATAGCAAGAGCGTCATGGTTACTCGTTGTGTATCGAATTGTATTATCATATTGTATAATATTAACAATCTCAAGTGATATGGCACCTCCAGTACCATATTACTGGAGGGAAAGGGATTGTTAGTGATGGGGACTGAGAATCCCATTGCTAGTAATATACCCAACCAGGTCGGTCTCCTCGCGGTTCCCCCTAGAAACTATCATGGCTGATTCTTGATGAATTCATCATGATGAGCTAACTGGCCTGTTTTCATCCTCATCTGTCACCCTTTACTGGTGCTCCGCCAGCGTATGCCGTTAGCGCGGGCGGGGTTACCATTCCATTTTCACCCATCAAAAAAAAGTACCATATTATTTTTTATTTTATGATTTATCTACCTGTTTTTTATATTGCCAGAGGCCGAGTGTGGTGGCCCGAAAACTGCAATACAGGTTTCTTTTTTATGGGTGATAATGAAATAGTAACCTCGCCCACGCTATCAGTATAGACAGGCGGGGCACCAGTGAAGGATGATAGGTGAGGATGAAGCAGGTCAGTTAGCCCATCGTGACGTATTCAACAAGTATTGTTCACGATGGTTTCCAGGGGGAACCACGTGGAGGTCAACCTGATAGGACTATTGTTAGCAATGGGGCTGTCAAACTTCATTGCTAACAATCCCTTTCCCCCCTGCAATACAGGTTATCCTAGTACAAATTGTGTCCACTTCCAATGTGAAACTATGTATTTTCTATTTTATAAAATGTAAAAATAAATGGGAGTATTACTATTAATAACATCAAGTGTAAATTAAAAAAAAAAAACTTGCTTGATGTTAATATAAGGTGAATAGTCTCAATGTATTAAGCATTACTATAAACCTATATATGCTAATATAATTGTTTGCTATTCTAAGTTGCATAAAAAAACATGTTTTCTGTAATTCAGAATTTTTGTAATAATAAATAAAAAGAAAGATCGTATGGAAAAGCTATTAATTTTTTGCAATATTATTATGAATGTGTACCGAATTTAGAAAGAGTATTCATACAATTATATAACAGTATATTTGTTCATAGGATTTTAAAAAGGTAATATCGTGGAATTTCGTTTACTTAAGTATATAAATCGAGTATAGGCAATAATCTTTTTATAAAATCTAAACTGTAATATTTTCTAAAATAAATAATCCATATAGTTAAATAAAGGCATGATTGTTTACTAAAAGGTTAACTAGTTGGTTTAACCCAACTTATTCACACTTAAGCTTTCAATTGGGCCATTGTGCGTATATAATTTCTATACATAATTAATTAGTGATTACTCAATAATTCTCAGTCTGAATAATCTAAATATCGATTGGCCTATTGATAGGGCATATAAATTAAATTAATTGTGGTATGCAATAATAGTATACTTATAAATATACTCGTTTTTATATCAATAACAAGTACAAAATGGGGGGGAAGGGATTGTTAGCAATGGAGTTTAACAGCCCCATTGCTAGCAATATACCCTATTAGGTCGACCTCCACGTGGTTCCCCTTGGAAACCATCGTGAACAATTCTTGCTGAATTCGTCACGATGGGCTAACTGACCTGCTTCATCCTCATCTATCATCCTTCACTGGTGCCCCGCCGGTGTATACCGATAGCGCGGGTGGGAGTATCATTTTATAATCACCCATTAAAAAAAAAACAAGTACAAAATAAATTATATTATTAGGAAACACTATCATAATGTAATAGTGGTTATAAAGTTGTCTGTATGAGATTGCTTTTAGCGATAAGGCCACCTTTTGTATATGCACATTCTGTATAAATATTCCTTGTATACATATCTATTGTGTGCAATAAAGAGTTTATTATTATTATTATTTATAAATTTGATGTACCTTGGCCATAAGCATAACGTCAATTACAACACACGTGATGAATCCAATGGTGACCAGCATTGTAATCACTCCAACTGCTACATTTTTTTCAAATGCAGTAATACTCGTAATCAGTCCACTGGAAAACAGAAAAAATTGCTGTAATTGTTGTGATGGTATTGAAAGCTAAATTTCATGTACGTAGATTAAATAAGGTCAGTGTTAAAGTAGAATCAAAAGTAGCTTGAAATGGTTCGTATAACACTACACTCGTCTGCTGCGCCGCAAGTTCCTTTTTTCTTTAAACTTGGCTGGACACGATGTGCGTGTCTAGATTATTGGCATTTAGACTTTGCGGTCATTATAAGTGTTTTTTTTTTGGCAAATAAGCTGACGGTCCACTTGTTGTGAAGTGATGACCATCGTTTATAGACATGAATGCCATCATGGACATAATAAAATACTCGTCGTACTTGTAGTGGTATAATATGGCCCCTTAGCTTATTTATATTTCATAGTTGAATTGAATTGAATTTTTTTTTAACTTTAATCTATTACTATTCATGAGGACTAAGGTGTTATGGTTTCATACACTTTAATTTCAAAGCTATATTGTACTTTTCAAACTGAAACAATGACTAGTGGAACAAAGGTGGCCACGTATTTTTACACGTAAAATTTATTTTTTTTATACCTGAGGTGGCAAACAAGCATACGGCCCACCTGATGGTAAGTGATTACCGTAGCCTATGAACACCTGCAATACCAGAGGTATTACGTGTGCGTTGCCGACCTTGAAGAAACCTCTTTAGCCCCCTTTTGAAGAACCCCATGCTGTAGGCACGTGGGAAAACCTCGGCAGAGAGCTCATTCCCAAATCTGAGTGTTCCTGGGAGGAAATATCTCTGAAACCGCGCTGTACGCGACCATTGAGGCTGTAGGATATGAGGATGAACTCTCTGTCGATGGCGAGTCGTACGATGGTAGAAAATGGCCGCGGGCATATTTACTTAATGTAAAAAAAAATACTCACCAAAAGCCTCCACCACTGAATCCAATTGACTGGACAATCGTTATGATAATTTGAAACAGGAATATGAAGAAGAACACCATGAAATTGAAGGACGAGTCACTTCTGAACGCCTTGTAGATGGGCCGGTACCAGCAGATGAAGCTGAACGGTGTGAGCAGCAAGAAATATAGGATGGAGAGGCCAAAGGGAGTGACCCCCTGGCCGGAGAACATGATTGACATAGCGCCAATAATGTTCAGTGAAAGGACGAGCGCGTGGACTGCAAAACAAAAGGAATGTTTTTTATTATAATCTCTAAAGACCTTACCTTGTCTAGATATAGTTATTACAACTAATGCTGTTAATTGTGCTTCAATCTAGCTATATTTCTTTTTATAATTAGCACAATTATAAAAAAGTCTTGGAAGGTATGGTTCACAATAGGAACGAGAGTGCATAAAATAAATACGTATAAAACAACCGGATCTGCCCCGGCTTCGGGCGGGAAAAATTTTAGCTAAAAATAAAAACAATTGTTGATAATATAGCTTTCTATAAATGAAATAATTTAAAATCGCCCGAGTATTTTTTTAATTTATCAACTAACAAGAATCTTTTCCGTTTATAATATTATATATAATATGCATGGGTAATATTTGTATCATACCAATATCTATATATTAAATATTCCACAGAATCTATCAGTTGGATATCTATGTTCATATCGACCGGGGGCCTCATTTCGATATTATATATTGGATAATTGTTATTTAATATATTTCATTCTATTGAACCAGTATAAAGATATTACTACAATATATAGATATTGCTGTATATTAGTTTAGATAAATAAATAAATTAATAATTTCCTATTAATTACTCGTAATTATAATTATTTATATTAGAGCCCAGGAATGACGATTTATGGGGATTTGTGCAAGATATGCGCTGACCTCAAAATAAATGGGAAAAGGCAAGGCAATGACAAATCGATAATGATGAATTATACCTTCAATTAAACTTGTAAACATGATGATTTAACTTCAATGATTCTATGTTTCATCATCATATCAGCTGTTATCTGTTCATTGCTGAACATAGGCCTTCCCCATAGACTGTTATAAGGAACGGTCCTCAAGAACCTTCTCATAGTTCTCAGTTCTTCGAACTACGTGACCAGCTCATTGCCACTGCAGCTTGCTTATCTTTCGGATCATGACGGTCATTTTACTTTCTTTGTGGATATCCTCATTTCGGAATTTGTCACGCAAAGAAACTCTCTCCACAGCTCGTTGTGTAACTAGTGTATCTTTTGCAACTCTATGTTTAAATATGAAACATTATGACATTATTTACAAATCTTGTTGAATTCATAACTGCGTTATACTTACACATCCACAAGTGATACAAATGACGAACGATCCTCTGGAACTCCAGTGGTATGTCTACATTGATATCTTGGTAGAAGCAAGGCTGAACAGGGCAGAACGCGGGCAAAGGGGGCCAGTTGTTGCGGCGGCCGGCGGAACCAGCGCGGAGTTCAGCTTCACGCCGCGCAAGCTCCTCCGCTTTCCGCTCTAATTCCTCTTGTCTCCTCTGGAGTTCAATTTCAGTTGTATTCATTTCACAATATATAATTCCACTTAAGGGCCCGATCTAAAGGGAGAGGTGCGAGCCGGGCAATTAGAGCGATAAAATTGAAGGCTGCAGAAGCTAATTTTTTCATTCGTTACACGACACAAATAAAATATATAATAAATATTTGCCCGGCGCGGTGAAATAGCTAGATCGGTCCCCGATTCCACTAGGTCACAATATTATCAAATAAGCAAACAAAAATGACTATGAATACTAAGTTTACAAGCGGAAAGTGACGCCTACACAATGTGATTATTTGAAATGTTATTGGTGGTATGATCATCCCAATTGAAGTCAGAATAACTCTGTAGACGTTGTTAGGATTCTGTAATAGTAGGCGACTAGAATTAGCTCTGAATAGTGCACAATGTGTTTGTATGTCAAGATTGTATTGATTTCATTATGTTCCACAAAATAGGATCTATAATCGTATCAAAATAAATGTAAGTATATAAAAAAGATCAGCAAAATAAAATATATTAATGGAATAAAACAATTTTATTTAATTCAATAGGCTATGTAGAATGAGTACTAATGTAATTTTACAAGGTAGTAATCTACACTAATCGTAAAGCAATTAAAAAAAGGTTCAGTAGTTGTAATTAGTTTCTCAAATATATAACGATTATAATGATATTATAATACTACTGGGATGGAATGACAATCTAAATGATAAAACAAGGATAACCAATGATGAGTTTTTCAGTCATAGAAATGTTTATTTACCTTTAGCTCCTTTTGTGCAATGTGGAAAAGCAAATATTTATGTTAATTGCATGCATTGAGAAAGTGATTACATCATAAATGAAACAGGCATCTGGATGTTTATGACTATATATAAACAAGATGTTTACATCTAATATATGTATTTTACAAAGTGTTCCAATTTTTTTTGGTATAAATCCTTTATTTAAAAGGCATGTCAAAATACAACAGTTAAAATTGTGACAGTAATAGGAAATATATTTAGAATAGTAGATAAAATAAATAATAATTTATTTTTTTCTAACGATTAATTGTGTAGGTACTTAGATGAACTTGGCTATACTGAAATTAAACTGGGTGGAAATTATCAGATAACATACAGACTGGGAATGTCTTTATTACATATGATATAACAAACTCAATTATATTTGTAAATAGGAATGCTTGTTTAAAAAATAGCTTTGAATTATAAAAAAAAGTAGTTCATTTTTCAATAAGATTCTCATTGAATCATTCAGTAATTTTTTTTAAATCTTAATATTTAAAAATCTCATGTCACATTTCATACCTTATTCATTTTAATCTTTGAAACTAACTGATTTTTAAGACATTTTGTAAATGTCTTAAAAATATTTGAAAGAGGATTCTACTGTAAAGAGAAAAAAATTGTGCATAAACACAAACAAGAATGACAGATGTTACAGGTAAAATGCAACTTTTGTATAAATTATCATGACATAAAATATCAGTCATTAAATGCATCTCAGTGTAATTCATGACTGAATATTTTTGTGACTATTATCACACTAAGCAGATATTGAACATATATACAAATAAATGTACATAGAATTCAAAATTTATACAATATTTACACTTATTTATTGTATAATTTGAATTGATATTATTATAATTAGAAACATGATTTGGAAAGAAATTTATATAATTATTAAGTATTTATGAATATGTTAGTTCATGGGAAAGAAATTTTTTTATTTTATGATCACAGACCCTATAATCCATGATTCTTGCAGCTATGTGCAAAGACATATGTGAGAGCATATTATGTACCTTATTAAGGGGTTAGGTACCTCTGGAATATAATCTCAAATATTCCACCATTTATGATCAGTTTCCATTTTATAATATTAAGGAAAGTTATATATTATAACTTATATTATAATTTTTATTATTATTCTCCAATCATCTAACAAATAATAGTAGGTAAATGTCAATATTGGTATGGACCTACCCTACACATATTTTATGTTTTGGGAATAATGAAAAAATATCTTTTACCTACAGAAAGAGATCCATATCCAGCACTGGGATATTAATAAATTTATACAGTTCTAAAAATATATACCTGAAAATCTGCAGTTGTGAAATTAGCGGGGGCGCCTTGTGTTTGCTGTTGTGGTTGTGCAGGCCTTTGATATTGGCTGCTTGGAGGTGACACTGCTTGCATGATAGCCGGCTGTGTGGGTTGCTGTGGAGCCTATCAAAAAATATTTGTTAATACAAAATCACCTAATATAAAAACAAATGACTATAATTAGCCAGCTTCTTTCCACAACTTCATGTTGTATAGCTGCTCATTTCATATAGTATATGTTTACTAAATGTCATAGTAATTGATTAACACACCAGGAGGTAACAAACAAACTTACTGTCATATTTATGCTATTATCAAAGAAGTCAGGATAAGCTGTACAAATCCAACTTTTTCCACATATCTACATCATATTGAATGAGAGCATAATGAGAATAGTCTTCTCATTATCTATGTAACATACATATGTCCCAAATTTTAAGACAACTGGTTGACATATTAAGATACTATATATTTTTTTATAAATAAACAAACAGTAATAAATAAACAATAAACTTATTTTTATATTTATCAATATAGTCTATGGATACCCATAAAGGTATTTCATATTAAAGTATATTAGTAAAGTGGGTATTCTGTAAAAACAGTTAAGAAAAATTATCTGTTGATGACTAATTTATTTAGTTAATATGTAATAAAGTAAACACCTACTTATTCATAAGTGGATTGATGTTATAAGAACATTTAAAAGTAATTTGATAATACTTTGTTATTAAATATGTTATCAAGACCGGCAAAAGAGTACCGTTGTTCAACTAATAATCGTCACACATAATAACCCACAAATGACCAGGTAAATGAACAACATTTACCGTAGCTTGATTTGCATTTTGATTGCCATCGAAGGGATTGTAGTCATCGAGACCTTGTGTAGCATTGTTAGTATTTCTTGCTACTTGCTGCACAGCAGGATCCTGTAATGATGTCAAGTAAATATTTAGTTAATAAGAATAGAAACAATTTCTAGTTTCTACAAATGGATTACTTACAGAAAAGGGGTTGTCTATGGTTGGATCACTAAACGGATTATCTTCGAATTTCGACATTGGTCTCGATTTATTCACGCCACTTTTTGATTTCAGATATATAAGAAACACAAAGGAAAAAGCACTTTTGCGTTTAAAAATGTATTTTTGGAATATAAACCAAGATAACAATTGACCGAATGACAGATCGTTGATGATGACGAAAGAAAACTCAACTCAAACGTCAAAACTGACAGTATCGGCATATAGTGTTGCATGATCTTAAAATATATATATATATATATATATATATATATATATATATATATATATATATATATATATATATATATATATATATATATATATATATATATATATATATATATATATATATATATATATATATATATATATATATATATATATATATATATATATATAGGCAGAGGTGCAATTGTATGTTGTTTGTTTGTATTATTCAAAGATTTTCATTGTTCTTAGGTATTCCTATCATCTGAGATAACAAAAGTTACTTATTTTTTTTAATCACGCAATAGTTTTTGATACGGGTTTCACTGTTACGTACATATCCTTTCACAGAAGGTTTGAATGTAAAAATATCTTAATTAGTAAATTGTTTGCGTGTTAACTTAATATGAATCGCTAGTTATTTATATAGATTATAATTTCATATTTATTTTTTCATGTAGTTCTAATTGCTCATTCATAATAGCACATCAATAATCACAGACATTTTTAGATATCTATATATACGTAGTTTTAGTTCTATTTTTATACTACTATGATGACAAACGCGCGTGTTATCGACCCTTAAGAACCCCTTACGCTTAATACGCCCTTTTTGATTCTTCAGTGGAGTTCTTCCCATGCTGTAGTCTCTAGGGAAAGCCTAGGCAGGAAGATTATTCCACAACCTAAGTGTTTGCCGGAGTAAACTTCTCTAAAATCACATTGTGCGTGACCATTTTAGTACTAAGTTGTGAAATGTGTGTATTTTAATTGTCAACCATATATACTTGGAGAGAAAAGGATTTTTAGCAATGAGGTATAACTGCCACATTGCTAGAAATATACTTTATCAAGTTTACTTTCACATAGTTCCCTCATAAAACCATAATGGCTTTCTTGCGGAATTCGTCATGATGAGCTCATTGACTATGATCTCTTACTGGTGTCTCGTCAACCATTTTAACCCATATAAAAAAACTATGTGTACTTTTACAGTCTCATTAAATGTAAAAGTCAATCGAAGCAAAGTATGGTTTTACACACTTGTACTGAATCCGAAGTATACAAACATTTTGCTAAACACTAAAATATGTGTAAATCTGTCATATCAAAGCACTAGTCGCAAACATTTTATATTTGTTTACAAAAGCCTGAGGCTAATACATTCATTTCAATTTTACAAAAAAAATCGTGATTTTGTGACATAGACTGTTTGCAGTGGTTTAGCGAGTGTGTAACTTCAGCGACATAAAATTGACGTGTGTATGTTGGCAAATTGTTAGAAGGCGAAAGTGGTTTGGCAGTTGGCAATTGTAAGTGTCAGTTTGGTTGAGAATTCTGTCAAAGCTGCCAGCTGTTTACGTTTTGTATAGTTATTTTGCGATCTATTTTCTTAACTTTTATTATATTATTATTTTTATGGTGACGCTTTTACTCTGAGATTTAGAAGATGAACGTTAATTGTGATGTCTCGTTATATTTTAATTAAACCATGTCAGATGTCAAGAGGTGAATAGTCTGTGTTTGTGTTTTAGCGTGAGAGTGTTTTTATATTGTTTGGGATTTGAAGCGATAAACATATCGGTGAGTATTTCCTCTTATACATGTATAGGACTCTCATAAATGAAATGATGTTTAAAGTGTTGTTTCTCGTAGTTACTATGGGCATACTTGTGGCTTAGTCAGCGCCTGGTTCCAAGGTGTACCTCGAGTCTTGCGTAATGTGTATAAGTGGTATTAGTACATGTATTCTGTTATTCATGATGTAGTTGGGTTGTTAGCATTTCAGTCAAGTAGTGCGGCGCATGTGCTGACTGGAATAATTATCTATTTGGAGGCGGCGAATGCACGAGGGGCGCGCGCGCCGCCGCTGACGGTGCGGGTGCGGCGGCGAAAGTTGTTTGCTCTTGATATCAAGGAAGTATAGCGAGTGAAACAGTACACTGGTCATACTACCTACTACATAATCAACTTATTATTTTATATAACTTTGGTATACATAATCTGACAATAGCCCCTATATTTTATAAACAATGTAGGTAGATATGTGGAGTGTTTTGATGTAGATCTGATATATGTCATTAGTCAGTGGGTAGTTGATATATTAAAGTAATAGAAAGAAGAAAGATTTTTTTAAAAGTGGAACAGGCATGTTAAACAATGAAATCATCTATTGAATAGTACTTTATTGGTAGATACTCTGATAAATGAGTGTCAAAGGCCAACTCAACTACTATTGTGAAGTCACTAACCTTGATTTTGTGTGAAACATTGAATATTAATAAGATAACTTTTGCTAAGTTTATATAAATACTAATTTAGTTGGATTTTCTATTGTTTTTAAAATCAGATCAGCCTTTCTACTATCATTTATTTCTCTTGATTTTCTACAGTCCTTTGTTTCATGACAGAGTTCTTAGTTAACTTCTTCAGGTTTATTACTGAACAAATGATATTTTTCATTATTCTATGGGGAGAAGAGACTTCTTCTCTAACATATATTCAAGGAAGGTTATTGTTTTAATAAACAAGCTTTAAAAACCAATAAATTTTATTTAATAAGTCACCAAATGTTGCCTTTGGGGTTTAATGGATCTGAGAATAGGCGTGCTGGGGAAAAATTGCTTGATTGTCAAAAGCAATGTCGTCGGGAATTCAGTTCAGGGAGAGAATTCAATTATCGTTCAGTATAAGGCTGATGTACCTAAAGAAGGTAAATACCTTTAAAAATTGTAAAAATAAAAACAAAATTTCCTGCAATAGATTTGAGGTCATTACTTCCTATAGAGAATATAATTTCACACATTAATTACAATGCATACAACACCCCAGGTATTTAATTATCTAGTACTTTATATGCACTGTCTATGTGTAGGTATGTATGATGGGAAATTCTCATCGCCAAACAATATGTTCAATGCCAATCATCAATATGCTCTATTCAATGTAGTTACATATTAGCTAAACGGTTTCCATGTTAAAAAAATATCTCCATTAATATTAATGCACTGTATAAGAAACAGTATGCCATGTGGTCCTAGGCCATTCCTTCCTTTTCTGTGGGTGTCTTATGAGATGACTAAGGGAATTTAATGGTTGAGGGTTGTGGCAACTATTGGTAAAACTCCCCTTATAGGGGAGGCTTATGTCCAGCAGGTGATACAATACAAAATGAGAAAGAGAGGTGACACATTGCCTTACTTTGTGATGGAGTAAGATAATGTGTCAGCTCTTCTCTTCATCATCAAGATGTCATAAGAGATCACTAAAGACCAAAGCATAATAAAAACAAGAAAAAGAAAAATAGAAATGAGTATACCAACCCATCTAGTCATGTATTTTGCTGATCTGTGGCACTAGGAAACTTTTGATACACTTAATCATGAATGTCAAGATGGCAAAATAAGTTTTTTTTTATACAACTTAGAATGGCAAACAAGCTGATGGTCCACCTGATGGAAAGTGGTAACCGTCACGTATAGACATGAGCAGTACCATGGACATAACAGAGTATATTGTTTCGCCCATAATACCCCCCATGCGTTGCCATTCCTGAGGACTCAGGAGTTATTCCTCTGTACCCTGTAAATTCACGCCATATCCCACCCTTCAAACCGAAACACAGCCATGCAAACACAACTGCTTCACAGTTGAAACACGAATGGGACAGAGGTACCCAAGCAATCGACTTTTGTACAAAGTCTCCCTCTGCCACTCTATGTGCAAACCATTAGCATTATAAGATAATGTTTCTAATAATTGTATTATACAAAGAATGAACATTATTATTGTGATATTATGATCATCAATAAAATAATCTAAGGGCAACAGTTCAACTACAATACTCTATGTTCAGATAAATAGTTCCACATTTATGAATTGAGAAACAATTGTTAATATTCCATTTTCAAATTTGGGATCAAAAGATTTCAAAATCCATTCATAGTAATTATAAATTATCAGTCACATTCTAATTTATATAAAATTAAAAAATCATAGACTTAATCATAGATAGATAATTCATAGATTTTCTTTTCAGTCAATATTTTTATAGATTATAGAGATATTAACTCAATTTAAACAGAGTTAGTATTGTGTGAACTAGACAATTGATATAAATACCTGTCTTGTAAGGTATCGATATAATATAATGATATAATAATTATTATTAAAATAAATTCTAAATTTATTAATATAATAATTTTTGAATTTTTAGAAGCTGGGTTGAAGGGTGGGATACAGCAGTGAATTTACAGGGTACAGAGGAATAACACCTGAGCCCTCAGGAATGGCAACACATGGGGGTATTATGGGCGAAACAGTATACTCTGTTATGTCCATGGTACTGCTCATGTCTATAAGTGATGGTTACCACTTTCCATTAGATGGGCCGTCAGCTCGTTCGCCATTCTAAGTTTCATAAAAATAAATATTATATTTAGAATAGTATTATATAAGTTTTGATAGTTTTAAAGACTATTCTTTTGCATTAATGTATTATACTTGTTTCCTTAGTCGCTTCTTCAACATTCTGGAATCCAAAAAAGTGTGGCTTTATATTATATTTTTAATCATCAATAGAGAAACATTTATCGGAAATGTGACTTGATTTTAAGTAGCTACACTCGTGTTTTCTATTCGTCTAAGACATTTTCCATTCGAACGAGGTAGATTTTGCGTTCGCCAACGGCGTAATGAATCGATGCGAAAATGTGTTATGTGGGCCGAATTACGCAAAGAACCTCGAACTTTCCGGGCCAGTGGACTTGTATAGCCCAACTTTGTCGATGGACGGCCCGCCGGCGTCATGGTGACGAATTCAGACGTCGGATTTAAGGGGTACGTTACACTATCAAGACTGTTACGATATAGTAACGGGGACTGACAGCGAATCTGCCCCAGCCTCTCACGACACCTGATTTTTGGTCATTCGCTAGAATTAGTTAACTGAACTAGAATTATTTTCATCTATTATCTTTCACTGGCACTTACCTTGCCAGTGTAAACTAAAAGTGCATGTAGGGTTACTTTTCTATTATTGTCAATTTAAAAAAATATATAAGTAATTTGTTGCTTTATTCAATACCTATTACGGGTTGAACCACATTAAAAATCAAGTCCTTAATGATGAGGAATGTCAGATTAAGAATTGTTAAATAAATATCAATAAAAAAAGTTATCTATAGCTTGTTCGTCTCCTGCTGCCTTGAATGTTAATCGGCGTCTGAGCTTTTAACATTCAAGCAACGTTTACTTCTAGTATATTTTATTACGATTTTTTGTTATACTACAAGGCGGGAGGCAAGTGTACGACCGCTAGCAGTAAGTGGTTCCGTATCGAAAGCACGCCTGCAACACGGGTGGTATATGTGTAGGTAATGGAAAGCCCTATATTAATTTACTTGGAGGGTGCTTTTATGATTTATCGTAGCACGGTAAGATTTTATCGTTACGATATACGATAGTAAAGCAAAATGTATGCAATTAATTGTATAAAAGTGCTTTACTAAATTTTTAAGTAAATTCCTCGATATTGGCATAATACAGAAGAAGAAAAATCTTTATTTTATCTATGATATTGGCATGATATACAATTCCATACATTTTGTTCTTCCTTTATATCGTGGCGATAAAGTCGTACGATGTTGCTGTAAATTACAAAAGCGGCCATACGTTACTTTTTATGCGCGTTATATGTAATAATATTACAGTGGAACGATATTTTTATTCACGAGATAATCAATTAGACGAAGCTAAGTATCATTTTATGATTCCAATAAAATGGTAGGTTTTATCACATAAATATTAAATGGGAAATAAAGAATATCTCATGATGAAGAGAAAGTAAAATGTAGCATGTCTTCTCATTATATTATTTAGATGCTAACGGTAGCTGAGCTCTCAGGATCTTGTCTAATATCAATGTTATAGTGTCCTTGTCCTACATATAATACAAAAAATAACGATTATTCTAAAATGAGGTCAAATTAGAAGTACATACTTAAATTGATAATTCCCATTTATGTGTATTTAGGGAGACAGATGACAGAATTAGTCAATTATTCACGTTATACTACGCCTATGGTTTAATGAGAGTATCACACTCTTCTGTTTTCTTTTAGAATCTACTATGATGTTTTTTGTTCAATTTATATAAAAATTTGGACCTCTTTTCTTTCTTGATAAGATGTACGTTGGCGTATATTAAGTGTTATTTTAAGTAATTTTTCAATTCAATTTATTCGCAACAATACTACATTGTGTTAAGTATTTTTCATAAGTAACAAGAAGATGTCATAAAACAACTTTACAATAAAACAGAAAAAGTATGAAGCAACAAAATAACCAATGTATTAAATAATAATATTACGAGTATAATAAATATATAAATTTTGCTACCTTTATTCCAGTAATAAGATTTTTATTATCTCTGTTAAATGAGTTTTGGTGACATTTGTCCAGAATATTTTTCTTTATTCTTAAGCTAACGTAAAATAATTCATGCTTAACACCTGTCTGTTCTGGGGAAGACTGACTGATCTGCTTTCATCGTCACCTATCATTTCTCACTGGTGCTCCGGTGT